ACAAACAACATGACATCATAAAACCCCACTGGTTAAAAACAAAGACAAAAGAGAAAGAAAAACAGTCAAATAGGAATACAGAATCAATGTGAAAAATCAACTACATATGAATCATTCTCGCAGTGAAGTGTTGAGATGTCCTCTCGGGAGGTAGGGCAGAATGTAAATAATGATTATTATTATTAGTAGTAATAGCAGCAGCCAGTAACTACATCCCCAGCTGTAGCAGACAATAGCTATTAGGGAGATTTTATATCAAATACTTGGCCACACATAGTTTTATCTTAACGTCTATTTTAAATTTTATTTCTAAGTGTTTTTTGCATAGAACCTCTGTGATGCTTTAGCAGAACCCTAGGGCTCCACAGAATAGTTTTGGAACTGCTGCCTAATTACATACATTTGTTAAGGTAACTAACAAAACAGAAACACCGACATTTGATGGCTTCTGTACCTGATACCTTGGGTGCACCATAGTTATATTCAAAGCACCGGAAGTTTGGAGTTGAAATACCTGGTCACAACATTGGAATTTGAACACAGGCACACCTTAATTAATAACGTCTCTGACAAAAAAAAAAAGCTCTTTTTACAAAATATTTTTTGTAGGAGTCCTTTACTTGTCTTTGTCTAACATGAAGCATGTCTTTAGAAAACAACAGAATAAAGCTTGACCTGGGAAAGAAAGGGATTCTGCTCCAGTTTATTTTACTGTATGTGCTTACATACAATAGGAAAAGTAAACAGCAGCTGCCTCAATGAGATGAATAGAAAGAAAATGGGAAAGCAGATAAAACTGTATGTTGAAAACATTTTGCTACCAAAACGAAAATCATATGAAAAATGAAAACTGTTGACAAAGGAAAAAAAACCCCACTCTGCAGTGTTCAAGAACCTTAAAATTCAGTCTCTAGAACAGTAGTTCTTAATGCCTGACCCCTTAATACAGTTCCTAGTGTGGTTGTTGGTAGCCCCCAGCCATAACATTATTTTCACTGCTATTTCATAACTGTAATGAATCATAATGTAAACATTTGATGTGCGGGATGTATTTTCATTCACTGGACCAAATTTGGCACAAATACCCAATACGCCCAAATTTGAATACTGGTGGGGTTGGGGGGTTGATTTTCTCATTTGGGAGTTGTAGCTGCTGGGATTTATAGGTTTGTTTGTTTGTTTGTTTGTTTGTTTGTCTGTTTGTTTGTTTTCTCGTGTCAGGAGCAACTTGAGAAATTGCAAGTCGCTTCTGGTGTGAGAAAATCGGCCGACTGCAAGGATGTTGCCCAGGGGATGCCCGGATGATTTGATGTTTTTATCATCCTTGTGGGAGGCTTCTCTCATGTCCCCGCATGAGGAGCTGGAGTTGATAGAGGGAGCTCATCCACCTCTCCCTGGATTTGAACCTGCGACCTGTCGGTCTTCAGTCCTGCCGGCATAGGGATTTAATAATAATAATAATAATACTTTATTTGTACCCCGCTACCATACTCGGACAGAGAAGCATCCCAAGCTCTGAAGATCACCTGGGAAGGAACCCCACTGGAGCATTGCAGTGCACCCAAATACCTGGGAGTCATTCTGGACCGTGCTCTTACCTACAAGAAGCACTGCCTGAACATCAAGCAAAAAGGAAACAATATCATACGAAAGCTGACTGGCACAACCTGGGGATCACAACCAGATACAGTGAAGACATCTGCCCTTGCGCTGTGCTACTCTGCTGCTGAGTATGCATGCCCAGTGTGGAACACATCTCACCACACTAAAACAGTGGATGTGGCTCTTAATGAGACATGCCGCATTATCACGGGGTGTCTGTGCCCTACACCACTGGAGAAATTACACTGCTTCGCCTGTATTGCACCACCTGACATCCGCTGGGAAGTAGCAGCCAATAGTGAAAGGACCAAGGCAGTGACATCTTCTGCTCATCCCTTGTTTGGGTATCAACCAGCACGTCAACGACTTAAATCTAGACATAGTTTTCTTAGATCTACAGAAACA